TCCCGTGGACGGACCCAGGGTGATGGGAAGGTCCTGAGACAGCCTCTGAGGCCAGACCGGAGCGTCCTGGGGGAGAGACACCCAAAGGCATGGCCAGGGCTGAGGCGCTGTTCCTGCTCTGGGTACTTAGCAAGGACAAAGCACTCAATCCCTGCCGTCCCAGAGCTCACGGCCAAGGGCAAATGCAAGGGTGGGAACTCATTTTCTCAAATTTTGACATGGATTATTTTGGAGCCCTGAATTGAAAGTATTTAGAAATGTCCTTGGTTGTTGGGGAGAAGGGACAAGGGGCAGTGGGGAGGGCCACCCCCACGGAAGGCTGTGGCAGTTACGCGGGGACATGAGGAGTGGCTGTCCTGAGCTCTAAGCAGTGTGTAAGGAGGGACAGAAGCTCAGGAGGGAGCTTGGTTTGAAGGGGAATCATGGGCTTCACCCCCAGAGAAATGGGATGTCTGGGTGTCAGGGTGGTCCCCGGACCAGCTCCTGCTTGGAGAGGGGTGCTGACCAGGCCCGGCTGGTGACCTTGGGTCAGTGGGTGCTGGTGTGAGCTGGATCCCCACCCTGAGTCACCCTGCCTCGCCCCAGTCTCTTCCTGCCTTGGGCTGACTATAGCTCGGTCATCTCAGCTGAGACAAACCTCTGGTTTTGGAAGGGAATTTTCCCGAATGCCAGCTGCTAAGCTCTCTGGCACTGACCCTGGGCTGTTCCATGGCAGACCTTGCCTCCTTCCTGTGCTTGGCACCCTCTGCACGAGGCAGCTCCCCTCCCTGCTCCTCCCCCTCCCGTTCCTGCCTCACCATCTCCCTGAGCCTTTGGATGTTGGCTTCCTGTCGTCTTGCCCTCCTGCCCAGCAAATGTTTCTACTGTCAACTCCTCCTCCTGCCCATGGCCCCACACCAGACGTTGGCCTCTTGCTCCTGCCCTGGCCCTTGCCAGCTCCCTGGCTGGAGTCTTCCCAGAATTTTCCTCCTCTCATGTTGTGTCCACCCTTTTAGCGCCAGGACGCTGCCCTGCCCTTGGAGGGGACACACCAGGTTCTTCCTGTGATGGTGTCTTCTCAGGGAGTTGAGAGGCGGAGGGTGGACACCTGGCATGGGAGGGGCTAGGGCAGAGTTTCTCCTTTACTGACATGTGAGGCTGGATAGTTCTTTATTGGGGGGCAGTCCTATGCGATGTTGGATGTTTAGCAGCACCCCTGACCTCTGCTCACTAGGATGCTAGTCTTCTTCCCACGTTGGGTCAACAGAAATGTTATAGACAGTGGCAGATGTCCCAGGAAGCAAAACTGCTGGTTGAGAACCGCTGAGATAGGAGACTAGGCACCACGTCCCAGTCTGGGCTAGACCTGCGCTGGAAGGGCCCTGAGAGGCTCTGCATCCACATCCCACATTTTAAAGGAAATCGGGTCACAGAGAGCTAAAGAATCTTAAGGTCATATAGGGGAATTTAATTTATTTCAAATTATAAGAGAAAATTTATTTACAAAGTTTCCCAGGTAGTGGAAGTGAGCCATCTGGGCTGCATGGACCCAGGGAAAAAGTTACAGCGGTAAAAGAAGGTCCCTTGGAGCTTAGGACAGGGAGAGGCAAAGGTAACATTCCTGGGGGAGCAGAGGGGGACGGAAGCAGTGCAGGAGTGTCCCCCAGGACAGTGTCATGAAAGAAGCATTTCAGGAAAAGGATTCAGGCAGTTCCATGTGGGTGGGGCTGAAACACAGTGGCCAGCTGCAGGGAGGGGAATATGGGGGATCTGGGCACGAGAGGGGCTGAGGTGGGGTCGTGGCACTGGTCACCTGTCGGCTGGGCTCAGCATGCACTCAGTGCCCAGGGGTGGCAGTGTGGAAGGGGCTCTGCACCAACGCCAGGAAGCCAGGTTGGGGCCCGTCCTGGCAGCGTGCCCCCTCCGTGCCCTGATGTTTGTCTTCTCCCTGCCTGGACAAAGGTCCATCGCAGCAGACCCCCGAGGAGGCAGGGAGAGTGACGGGGGTCTCATTCACTCAGCAGGCTCCTGTGCGATGCTGTCCCCCACCCCGGACTTCAGTGCAGGCTGCTGGTGGGGGTGCCCCACCTGTAGGCAGCAGATATCACCTGGGGTCTAGCCTGGGGTATGGTGGGGCCTCGGACAGGCAGTGAGGAGGGAAGCAGATGGGGGGCCGGACCCCAGCTCCCTTCTCTCAGAGTGGTGGAGGGCGGCTGCTGGTGGGTCTTCGGGAGATTTACAGACCAAATCAAAGAACATTCAGGGTGAAGTCAGAGAAGCAGTTCTGAGAAATGACTGGCTCCTGGGCACTTCTCAGTTGTTGAGCTTTTCCTGGATGTAGCGTCTTTGAACTCACATCAGTTCCCCCAGGACGGGAATAGAGGAGGGGGCCACAGAGGGGACCCCACCAGGCCCACTGCCAATGAGAACTGGCTTCTGGGGAAAGCTGTCCTCTCCTGGGAGGGTCCTGGAGGCCCTGGTGTCCCCAGCTGCAGGGTGGTAAGGCATGCTGCAGGTCCGGAGGCCCGGGTCAGCTCTCTGTAGTGGGCTCCTCTTCCCGCAGCGAGGGACCCGGCAGCCACACGCTTCCTCTCGCTCATTGCAGGGTCTGGCCTTTAGTCATGGATCTTCCACATGAAGATCACGCATTTTCATGGTATGATTAGTGAAAGAAACGCTGAGAGGGCAGCATGACCAGACTGAAGCGTCGGTGACAGCTGGATGAGTTTCAGGCTTCACTGCAAACCTGGGCTTCTGACCCGGCCTGGAGCGCCACCTAGTGGTTGCAGGGCTGATTCCCCTGGCAAAGCTTAGCGATGTCCGTTGGGTGGATAGATGCTCTGGGCTGCTGAAGGGTATAGGGCGTGCAGGACCCCTCTCCTCAGTGTGGGGGACCCAGACAGCTGCTCCACTTTCTTCACTCCCATCCCCCTATGCTCCTTGAACATACATGGGAATTCCCCAACTTCTTTGCCATGCCCAGGTGCCCCTCCTTTGTTTCCTCATTATCAAAATCCTACTCATTCTTTAAAGCCCAGCAAGCCCTGTCGATACTGTCTTCCAAACGTATCTCAGATCGGGCTGTTTCTGACCAGCCCTGTGACCACCGGTGCAGATCACCAGTAGCTTGCTCGTAAGGAGCCTCCGATTGCTGTCCCGGCTCCCCCCGGCCTCCGACATCTGTCCTCCCAACCGCAGCCAGAGCCATCGATCGAAAACATCAGTCATGTCAGTCCCAGCTCCCGAGGCTTCCCAGCCCACTGAGAAGGGCACCCAGTTTCTCTCCTGATGCCTGCAAGGTCCTGTCTCTGTCCCTGTCACTCCGCCCCCTGGTCCCCGTCCACTTGTCACCCCCTTCACTCTTTGTAGCCACACGGGCTCCTTGCTGCTCTGTGGCTGCCCAGGCCCGTTCCCCATCAGGGCTTTCGCACTGCTGGTCCCCCTATGAGAACACTCTCCCCCAGATATTTGTGGGGCTCACTTCCCCTCCTTATCTGGGTCCCTCCACAAATACCACCTTTCCGGGAGGCTTTCCCTGGCCGCTGTGTCCCCAGTTACTTTCTAACCCTTGCCCATCCTTAGTTCTCTTCACAGCACACCAGCACCCGCGTTCCTGGGGTGTTTGCTTGTGCAGCATCTGGTCCTGTCAGAGCCCCTCCTCCCGAGGGCCAGGCCTTCACAGGCGCCATTGACTGTCCCCTTGCACCCGAAGGGGACCTGGCGCCTGTGAAGTAGGGGCTCAGTGTGGGTTGCGGAATGCCTGAGTCTTCTCTGAGCTCGGTTCCTGGGGTCACAGCACAGCCTCCGGCCCCTGGCCTGCGCTTGCCGCCACTTCCCATGCTCACTTCCACATGACCCCGCTCAGCAGCCCGGGAGGTGGGTGCTGCTATTCCCAACCAAGACCAGCTGGAGCCGGGGTCGGGCCTCTTGTGGCCTCCCCAGCCCTTGTGTGGAAGGTTCCTGCCCTCTCCCCGCCCCCCGCCCTTGAGGGACTGTCTCCACCTACTGGCATCTAGGCGGGACAGTGACGGCCTCCTCTGAAGCCCTGTGGCATTTACTTGGAACCAGCACATACTCCAGGGGCAGGTGCTGCTTTTCCTTGTTCCCATCCAGCCCGAGTGGAGGCCCAGGGAGGCAGGTCTCAAGCGGTTGTACTTTCTGGCGCAGGACGCCGCGTGCTGTAGGTACTCAATAAATATCGGCTGACTGATTGATTGGCTTCTCGGACTCAGCAAGCTTCCCCTGAGCTGCAGGAGGGACGGGGCTGTCAGCTATAGCGAGCATAAAATAAGGCAGACATGGAGATTTGCAGCCAGTGAAACCCAAGCTTCCCCAGGCGAAGCCTATGGCGGCGGCCCCAGGGGTGCTGTTGAAGAGTCGGTTTTCGGGCGTCGCGCTGGTTGCCGGCTCACCAGACGGAGGGCAAAGACGGTGATGGGCGGCTATGCCCTGCACACGGGCCAGCCCCTTGTCAGCCTCTCGACCGGCCCAGCGAGCCCTTCTCTTGTTCTGTGGGAAGTTTGTTCTTGAGAGCAGTGGGCGGATGGCCCTTCTGGTCAGGGCAACAAGTCACAGTCACTGAAGGTCTGGCTCTGGGAGACTGGCCTCCGGGATCCTCCTGCTGGCCCCAGATGCAAGTCCTGTTGCTCTCCCTGGCAGCCAGGACCCCTTGCCCGGCCTGCCCGGAGCGCGGGGGCCCACCCCGCCCGCGGAGTGACTGCACCCTCGTGCGCGTCAGGGACCTGCGGTCTTTGTCATGTGCCTGTGCCTGCCTCTCGTTTACCCTGATCCTCACAGTGACCCAAGAGGCCGGCGAGGCCAGTGTAACCCATTTGCCGGAGGGGGAGAGTGAGACACGGAGAGGCTGAGGGACGTGTCTGGGTCACAGCCGACATGTTTGAGGCTGTGACCCTGTGCGGCCAGCAGCCCAGCTCTCCCCGTTCTGTGTCTGAGTTGGGTGGGGACATGGAGCCTCTCGAGTCCCGGAGAGCGTGCGTCTAACAGCTGTCCTTTCTCTCCAGCTCTGTGGCTGCGGGCTGCTTGGAGTGGGCATTTGGCTCTCCGTGTCCCAAGGCAACTTTGCCACCTTCTCCCCCAGCTTCCCTTCGCTGTCTGCAGCCAACCTGGTCATCGCCATAGGCACCATTGTCATGGTGACGGGCTTCCTGGGCTGCCTGGGGGCCATCAAGGAAAACAAGTGCCTCCTCCTCAGTGTAAGTTGGACCCCGCACCCCCAGCTCCCTGTACTCTGGTCACCCTGCATTTGGGCCACGGCGACAAGCAAGGCCTGGAAACATCAGATAACTGAGCCCAGGGAAATAGCTTCCAGAATGCTCTTTGCCCACCCACATCCCTCCCTCTTTTTCATCATTGGCATCCCTGCCCTAGCTGCCCCTCACTCCTGTCCCTCACTCCTTGATTGGCGTGTGCTTAACGTCCCTCCCCTGTGGCCCAGGTTCCCTCCAGAGCAGGCAGCCTCTCCCAGGGGAAGCCCTGGTGCCTGTGCCCCGCCCGCCGCATGCCCACGCCTGTCCCTTCTCTTCCAGTTTTTCATCGTGCTGCTGATCATCCTCCTCGCAGAGCTGATCCTACTCATCCTCTTCTTCGTCTACATGGACAAGGTGAGCCTCCAGGAGGGAGGGGCTGGGCTTGGGTCGGCCGGCTGCTGATGAGACACGCCGATGGGGGTGCCCGTGAGGAAGGGGAATGGAACGGGGAACGGGGCCGAGCCCGGAGGAGAGGTTTGGGTGGGCAGCGTGGGGAAGGGTTGTTTGAGATGTTTCATCACCTCGTGTAGTCCTAGGAATTTGAGTCCTCTGCATGGTCTAGGGACGCAATGGACTGCCCTTGCGCAGTGAGCTCCCCACCACTGGGAGCATTCAAACGTGTGTGTTGACCACTTGGAGAAGGGCTAAGACCTCACTACGTGGTTGGGCTGGGTGGTTGGAGGACTTCCGTCGGAAACGTGGGAACTTGGCAGTGACACCGTGAGCAGGGCTAAAGTGAGGGGCAGCTGCGCTTTCCTTTCCAGACTCAGGGCAGAGGGACTGCACCCGGGGTTCCGGAGGATGGCGGAGTGCCCCCCGGTAATTTGGAGAGCTTGTTGGTGCTCCTCAGAGTAGCCAAGCACCTCGTCTCCCGGGGCTCAGCAGGCGCCTTTGGTGCACTGGGCCCAGGGACGAGGTCGCGCTCTGTTCCTGGGGTTCTTGAAGTGCTTCCCAGGCCACACTGAAAGGTAGTTGTTATCAGAATTGGAAACAAGAATTCTTCTGCATTATGAAAGCGAAGAAGTAACAGTATTAGGAGACGTCCTGTGCCAGCCCTGCCTGTGGCTCTTCACAAGAACGGTCTTCAGTGCTCACCACAACCCGGAGTGCCTGACCTGCCGCTCGCTGGTCCCCAGGGCGTCTTTTGGCAGGAGCCGCCTGGGAGGACATGTGGGCGGGTGGCAGAGTGGCCTGCGTGTGGCTGGCTCTGCCTCTGAGCGTTACCGCTGAGGCCCAAAGGGTCCCACTGTCCTGGGAGTCAGTGGGAACGTGAACCCGCCCTGCCCAGCACCCCACCTCCAGGACCCTCCTCCAGTCTGGAAGAGAGGTGGCCAGCGGGTCTAGTTGACCTGGGCCGGTTGCATGCTGGTCCCAGCTGTCCTGTCTGCCCCAACGTGTGCAGGTGAACGAGAACGCCAAGAAGGACCTGAAGGAAGGCCTGCTGCTGTACAACACGGAGAACAACGTGGGCCTCAAGAATGCCTGGAACATCATCCAGGCCGAGGTGAGGGGCGGGCGGCCCTGCCGACCACGGGGCACGCAGGGGCCGGCGGTCTGGTCGGACACCACGTAGGGGGATGCAGCTGGAGAGGGACGAGGAGGCGAGCGAAGGAGGCGGGCAGGACCTGGACGTAGGAGTGGACAGGCCTGAGGGAGCCGAGCGGCTAAGGGAGCACAGGGACCTGGGAAGGATGGAGGATCAAGAAGGACAGACCGTCCGAGTCCTTGCCTGGAGCTTTGGAACGAGGGCCAGAATTTATTTTAGCATCAGATATGCCTCCTTGGTCATGGCTCAGGCAAGGAGGCTCTGATGCTAAGAGGAAACAAGTCAGCGCAGCCCGTGGTAAGCGCTAGGGAGGGGAGGCAGCCGGCCTGGGACATCAAGCACAGAGACGGGGTGCTGGGGGGAGCGGAGGGCTGAGCGCTTCTGCCCTGTGCCTAGTGCCCACCCCGAGGGCAGGCCGCACCCGGCTCCCGCCCCAGCCTCCAGGAGGGAGCTATCCCTTCCTTCCCAGTGGGCCCGGCTGAGGCCAAAGGAAAGGCCAGGATGAAGGCCTGTGTGTCCTCCGCTGAACTGACCAGGGTGGCAGCTCTGGGGGGCAGGGCTGGCCTGGTCAGGGGGGGCCCAGAGGAGGGTGGCAGGCTGAGGTGTGTCTGACCCTGTGCATCCGCCCACAGATGCGCTGCTGTGGCGTCACGGACTACACAGACTGGTACCCGGTGCTGGGCGAGAACACGGTCCCCGACCGCTGCTGCATGGAGAACTCCCAGGGCTGCGGGCGCAACAGCACCACCCCGCTGTGGAGAACAGTGAGGGCCGAGGCCACCCTGGGTCCTCGACCCAGCCTGTGTGGTGGCCAGAGGGCCCTTACAGGGGAGGGGGGCCTGGGGCACCAAGGAACCGGGTTAACGTGGAGTGAGGGTGGGGCACAGAGGATTGAAGCCAAAAGGCAGGTAGAAAACGGGGGCCTGGACCCACAGTTGGAGTGTCACGGGTTGGGGTCTGTGGCCATGCAGTGGGGCCTTATAGGTGGAACTGCGGGAGGGCAGGGCCTGCTCAAGGCAAGAGGGCCAGGCCGAGGTCAGGGAGGGACAGAGGAAGGAGCAAGGAGGGCTGACGGAGAAGGTAGGGGGCTGGGCCGGAGGGTGCTCTCCGCATGCTGGGCCCTAACCTGGTGCCTGCTCCGCTCCCAGGGCTGCTATGAGAAGGTGAAGATGTGGTTCGATGACAACAAGCACGTGCTGGGCACAGTGGGGATGTGCCTCCTCATCATGCAGGTAAGGGCCGCCTGGGCCCCACGCCACGGGCCCTGCTCCCCCAGGCCCCTCCGAGCCTGGGCCTGACCCCACGGGCACTGCTCCCCCAGGCCCCTCCGAGCCTGGGCCCCACGCCACGGGCCCTGCTCCCCCAGCTCCCTCCGAGCCTGGGCCTGACGCTGGCACTGTGTGCGGCTGCGCGTGGGTTTGCTGGGGAACACACTGTCCCCACCCCCCAGGGATGTTTACCTTTGACTGAACTGAATGAAACCCGAGTCCTCAGAAATGACTGTGAGCATGGGCTTGGACCAGACTCCACAGGTGTCCTCACCTCACCATCTGTTAGATGTACGTGACCTGGGCACGTGGACTAGCCTCTGTGCCTTAATTTCTACATCAGTGTGATAGGCATGATCATCGTGCCACTTCTGCACAGGAAGTGAGTTGGCTGCGCCTAGCCTAGGGCATAGAGCAGGACCGGCACGTGGGGCGTGCTCAGCAAACGGCCGCTGTGTTAGCAAGGCCAGCGTAGGTGATGGAGAGGGAAGGGGAGGGCATCCCTGCCTCTCATCTGAAGATGAGGCCGACACAGCTGGCTGGGAACAGGGACCCCCGCCTTCCTGGGGACAAGCATTTGCCCAGCCCCCTCCTGTGCCCACCACGTGTGGCTCCTGTCCCTGGTAAATGGGAGTCCTCGCGCCTGGTTCCTCTGGGAGTCCTTGAACTCGGCTGGTCGGTCCGTGGGAAGGTGGCCGGCATCCTCCACGGAGTTATCTTTCTTACCCTAAACTCCTGGGCCTGGGGCTGATTGTGTCTGCTTCATCTAAGCGCCTGCAAGCCCAGCAGATGAGCCTGCTGCCATGGTCCCAAAGCTGCGATGTGGGATGCGCTCCCAGGAGCAGCATTCTGTGCCGAGGATGGGGCTCGTCTCGGGCTGCCTGTGGTCAGGCCTGGGCCTGGACCAGACCCTGGGAGCTGGGCTCCCCAGCCATGGCCTCCTCCACTTATGCCTGAGCCTGGAGTGTGAGAGCCATGAGGGGCACGGTGTCCCCAGCACCTGCATTAGGGCCTATGCCCGCTGACTTTCTGTGGGCTCCCTCCGGCCTCCTGCCCCGCCCCGGGTCACCACCCCCTTCCAGGAGTTGAGGAAACAACAGACCAGTATGGATGCCCTCCTGAGCATCATGATGCTTCTGTGGCAGCATCACCTCCTGTATTCCAGACCCAAACACAGGACAGCACAGGTTTCCACATCCCTTTCCCCTCCCAACATTCTCGATGGCAACCTGCAGGGTCAGGCCTCTGTGCCCCCTGAACTAGGGAGGCAGCCACGCTGAGGATGGGTTCAGTGACATTCTGCACAGCGCTGAGGGGCTGAGCCCCTGCACCACTGCCCTCACTCCACCAGCGTGTCAAGCACACAGGTGTGTGCCTTTGCTGCAGGTGGCCCGTGTGGGAACCCTGCCCTGGGGCCTTTGTCTAAGGCCCGTTCCCATGTCTTTCAGATTCTGGGCATGGCCTTCTCCATGACCCTCTTCCAGCACATCCACCGGACTGGTAAAAAGTACGACGCCTGAGCGGCCAGCGGGAGCCCCAGCCCCCACGCGGACACAGGCCAGGGAAGGAGATTCAAGTTTGTGTTGCCTGCCCGCACTCCAGACTGCTGACCCGCCCCCTCCCCCAGCTGCCCTCCCACACACCCCGCCTCAGCCTTCTTGGGGTGGAGGGCCAGGGAGGAGGAGGCATAGACCTTGGGGTGCTGGGGGTGCTGGATTCCTGCATCTGTGTATATGCCAAAGAAGACAGGGTGGGCCAGGGGACATGCTCCAGGAGGCCCCAGCACTGACGCGTGTCCCCCCGCCCTTCCTCACACTGACATGCGGGGTGGGGTGCAGCGGAGTGCTCCCTCCTGGCAGAGAGACTGCCCAGCAGACCACCCCACGTGAGAGCGGGAGGGGCCGCCTCCAGCCACGGACCCAGGGAGCATCTTGCCCAGGCTTTTTATACCTTACAGTGTAACTTTTTTATTTTATTTTACTCTGATCACGATTATTCAGGAATATTATCTCAGATAAGTTTAGGGTTAGCTTTCTGATTTATAACTTTTTACTGTGTTGATTTCTGTAAAGGTTTGATTTTCTTTCTGAGGGTGGGAGACGGGTGGGAAAGAGGACGTCCATCTGGTTTCAATCAGGACAAACCACTGCAGCACTCAGGCTCTGGCTTGGGAGGTGCCCACCTGCTTCAGACGCCTGAGAGGCTGGCGCTGCACTCTCGGTCCCGGTCCCGGTCCGGTCCCGGTCACCGTCTCAGCACAAGAGCCTGGAAGAGGGGGCGGAGCCAGGAGCATGGAGGAGTGTCCTGCATGGGAGCCTGGAAGAGGGGGCGGAGCCAGGAACGTGAAGGCGTGTCCTGCACGGGAGCCTGGAAGAGGGGGCGGAGCCAGGAGCATGGAGGAGTGTCCTGCACAGGAGCTTGGAAGAGGGGGCGGAGCAAGGAGCGTGAAGGCGTGTCCTGCACAGGAGCCTGGAAGAGGGGGCGGAGCCAGGAGCGTGAAGGCGTGTCCTGCACGGGAGCCTGGAAGAGGGGGCGGAGCCAGCATGGAGGAGTGTCCTGCACAGGAGCCTGGAAGAGGGGGCGGAGCCAGGAGCGTGAAGGCGTGTCCTGCACGGGAGCCTGGAAGAGGGGGCGGAGCCAGGAGCGTGGAGGACCGTCCTGCACCGGAGCAACGTGGGTGCTGGTGCCAGAGGCCAGAGCAGGGACCCTGGGGGCTGGCGAAGGGCTTTGCCGGGAATGTGGCTGCAGCGTCTGGGTCCTTCCACTGTGCTGAGGAGCAGGTGTCCTCCCTTCCCCTCCTCCTTCCTCCTGCCCTCTGCTGGCCCTGGAGGCTCCCCCGCCCCACCTGCGGGCCTTCCAGCCACAGGCTCTGCCAGCCCCAGTGATTTCACAGACATTCCTGCTAGAAACTCGGACACATACCTCGTTCGTGCTGCTCACTTTCTCACGTTGCTTCTGGAAGGGGAAGCAGTTCTAAGGTTTCGCTGCTCAGACTGGCAGAGGACCCCGGACAGTCGGGAGGGCAGGTGGAAATGTGCCCACGATCATTCCAGCCCGATTCCGTGGGCTGCTGAGTCCCTGCTGGGAGGAAGGGCGAGACGTCCATCCAGGTCCCAGGACCCTCATCGCTTTCCTGCGGTTCATTGTTGGTGGGGTGACTGGCTGTCAGGTCCTCAGTGACCCCAGGGGAAAGGACAGAAAACCGAGAGAGGTCAGACTGGATCCTGTTAAGTGGCCCCAGGACGCAAGCAACCAGGTCAGGGCCTGTGAGAAGCGCAGCCCCACCAGCACTGCTGGTCTGAGGAGCACTTTGCAGTTCAAGCAGCAAGTCAAGACTCCATGGGGTGGAGCTGGGTAGAACCCTGTGCGCTTCCCCGGTGGGGCCTGGGAGGCTGCCTTTTCCTGAACCACTTGGCTCCATGCCTAGTTCTCCCACCAGGCCCACCTCTGTGCAGCCTACACTTGTCTGTTCCCAGAGCTGAGACACCACCACCCCCCAGCAGCCCCTCCCCCAACCTAAGTGCAGTGCCGTCAGGACCAGGAGTACAGAACTTCGGATGAGCTCAGGATTCAGGTTTTAGGAGGATGGGAGTAGAGGAGAGTAGTCTAGGTGAGTTGGCCCCCAGACAGGAGTACTGGTGCAGATGGGAGAGCCCGGACGGTGGGGCCTGGGTGGGGATGGGCAAGCACACATTAGAGCAAAACTGGGTCCTCTGGCCTCTCTTGGTGAGGAGCTTCAGCCGCCTGGGGAACCCTACTCTGCAGGGCTCAGCAGAGCCACCACGCCCTTGTGGAGACACAGCAAACAGCACCAGGTCACACAGTGAACCTGGTGCATACTGAGTTTATGCTGGGGGTGGGGGTGTGGGGTTGTTTATGCCTATCAATGCAATTTTTAATTTTGTTAAAATCAACAGCGAAAGCCTAGCACCTTGGGGGTGTAGCCTCTCTGGCAAGCTTATGTTTCTGGAGCTTCAGGGGCATCCTCTGGCCCTGGAGCCCTTGCCAAGATGCCCTTCCTCCTGTGAGCCCCCCATCCACCTGTCCGCAGGGCCTTGTCCCGGGTCCCACACTCCCCTCGTGCCTCACCCTGTCCTTGCTGGTTCCGTCATTCGGCCGAGTCCACACTGGGTGGGAGGCCACATGCCCTGGCCCGGGGTGCTCTTCCAAGTCCCGTGTCTGCCCACTGCACAGAGCACCTCACTCGTGGCTTCCCGAGGGTCCTGCCGTGGTATCGGGGATGCCCGCCATGGCCAACTGTGCAGCCATCTCTCGGGAGGTGAGTGAGCAGGGCTGAGACTGCTCCGGAGGGGCTGCCGCGGCGAGGGCACAGGGCTCCCTCTGGAAAGGCTGCTGAGCCCGCCCAGCGCTCCTGCAGATGTGCTGCTTGGAACTAGGTGGCCGTCCCTCCTTGTTTCAGTGGCCCAAGAACAGTCAGATGGATGGAAATGACTGTCCCCGGCTCTCGGGACCCCTGCCCACCCGCTGGTGGAGGTGCTAACTAGCAGGGACCTGGCATAGGACAGGCACTGGGGCCAACTGTGGGGTCCGCTCCTGGTCCTTGGGCCTTTCAGAGTCTGGCCTCCTGTTCCCGTTCTCCCGTTTCCCTCCTCTCCCTGCAGTGAAGCAATATCCAGGGTGGGGCCTGGCCTTCCTGCCTGACCAGGACTCGGAGGTCGAGGCCAAGGCCCTGGGCCCGGCCCACGCCCTGCCCAGCCCCAGGGCAGCAGGGGTACAGCCTGTTGGTTTCAAATGCACTTTTCTGCTTGCGATGCCGTATCTGCGTTTCCTTCATCCTGGCCCTGGCTTTATTGAGCACCATGTTTTTAGCATGTTTTTAAATAAAAACTGAACGTGTCAAAAGCGCAATCCAGCTGTCTCTGTGGTGTGTTCAGTCCTCCATGACGGCAGGTCGTGGTTGGTGGGAGACCAGAGGGCATCCAGCACCAGCCCTCTCTGTCCTAGACGCACCCTGCAGCTGGGACCCCTTCTCTCCTTCCGGGGCCCAGGTCACAGCTGTGCTGGGCTTGGGGCACCCCTCTGGGGGTGCCTGAGGAAGCCCTACACCTCCTTTGCCTGGTGGCCTGAAGCAGATTTGGTTGGGGCCAGTCCCAGTGGCCCGAGCCCTTTGCACAGGAGGCTGACTCCACCTGAGCATCTGTCCCGTCCGGACCACCAGCCCTGTGGGCCCGACCCATATGTGCTGGGAGGGGGCAGCAGCTAGTCACTCATGGCTTCCTGAGGGGCAGGGACTGTCCCCAGTCCCTCTGACGATCCTAGGGTGCTTCTGAGCCGTGTCTCTTCCAGGGGTGGGGGACCCTGCGATGGGACAGTGTCCAGGCTGTGCTGCTGGGGGCTTTGAGTCGGCCTCTGTGGGCACAGAAACACCGAGCCAGCATACAATGGGCAGCGGGGAAGGAGGGAGGCATTGGACCTGTGAGCCCACTGACTGCCACCTCACCCCCGGCTTCCTTGGCTGCCGTAGTCACAGTGACAAGTTCAGAGGTCATCCTGCCCTGGGCCATTGCTGTGACTGCCCTGGGCCATCGCTGTGACTGCCCTGGGCTGGGGGCCAGGTGGGTAGGGAAACGTGCATGGGTGCACTGGGTGGGGGCGGCATCCCAGCACAGGCTCGGCTCGGCTCCCTCCCACCTCAAGGGAGAGGCCAGGCTGGCGTGGGACTTCCCAGAGCATCCACCTCTGGGGCCCCATCCTGCAGCTGTGCCCCAAAGCCTGCAGGGACTTGCTGAGGACTGAGGAGCCGGGGGTGGCCCTCTGTCAGGGGTGTGGCTGGAATGGGGTCCCAAGGAGATGTACCAGAGGGGAACCTGCGGCCATGGGTCAGGAGTTGGTCCTGGCTAAGGGATGAGTGACCCTCCGGCATCCTCAGAACCAGCCAGGTCATAGGAATGTGGGTGGGCGCCACTTCCTCTGCCCGTTCTTGATTTCCTGCCCCTCAGCCTGTGAACACACCCACTGGGATGCCCCCGGGTCCCTGTGCTGTCTGCTGGGGGACAGGGAAGTCCGCTGGCTCCCAGGGCACGGCACTGGGCTCCGGGCAGGTGAGCTAAGCCGTGACAGGCAGGCCGCCCTGGCAGGACAGGAGATGTCCATGGGCTGACAGGGCTGGGCATCCCCCCCCCCCGCGCACACACCCCCCCCCCCAGACCTCTAATGACTGAGCGAGGGCCCACCGGGGCGGGTTCTGGGCTCTTTAGTCCATGGGATGGGGTGGGTGAGATGACCCTGGGGACCTCCCTTGCTGCCCCATTCCTGTGTGAGGTGGTGGGACAGCGCCCCCCGCCGGCGCCAATGAAGGGCACGTGAGAAAGGACAGTTTGTGAGCTGCGGCCGAAGCAGCTCGGTGTGCGGGTGAGAACGGCCTCAGAACTGCCCACCTGGACTCAGAGGCCAGAGGCCGGTCACAGTGACTTCTTGGAGGCTGACTTGTGGCAGCAGCTGGAGCACAGTGGTGAACCACCCAGACCGACCCTGTGCTCACAGACGCCCCCGAGAGTAGGTGGGATCCGCCCTCCCTGCTGCGCTGTTGGCGACATTCACCATATACACCCCGTGGGAGGCGCCCGACCCCAGCTCAGCGCTGTCATGTGCGCTGAGAGCTGGAGGGGCGTTAAGGGCCAGGAGCAGAGGGAGGGGTCCTGTCCGGGTCCTGGGGCTCCAGCACCAGGTGAGGGGTGTCCGGTCAAAGAGTTGGAGCTTAAAGCTGAGAGCGACGGGAGCCGCTGAGGCCTGACGCCCAGGTGACAGGCTCAGGTGGGCCCTGGGACCACCGCTGGGACCCGGCGTTCGAGGCAGGAGCCGGCAGGGCCAGCGTAGCGCGGGGCACCTCCTTGTGCGTGTTGCAGCTGCGGCCTGCGCAGGCTGTCCCGCGCCACCGTGCCGGGTCTGGGTGGGCAGAGCTGGGGTGGGGTGGGGCCTGCGTAAATTCCCCCTCTGCAGCTGTGCCGCCTGAGCCTTGTAGTCGCTGAATTTGCCTTGGTTTCATCATCTGCAAAAGGAGAAGAATACCCATTCGACAGAGTTGCTGTGAAGGTCAAATAAAAACATGGATGTAAAGACATCCAGCCTGCTCCTGGCCAAGGTAGGTGCT